GTGAACCCTGGCAATCCTGTGTTTTCCTGTATGGTGGACCCTAAGACACTCCACACAACCACTTCACTGTCTAAACCACAGATGATCATGTACAAAACCAATTCCAGCCAGTATGGTGCGTTCTCACCCAGGCCCCAGTTCTTTCCCTGCAAGTACATTCCAACGGAGCAAGTGTTCTCAAATCACATTAGAGCAACTGGGTTTTATCAAAACAACAGCCTAAATATTACCCCCGACAGAACCAGAACCGTCGATTTTCCTAATTTTCAACACACTCTATGAACATACATCCTTCTGACAACTTAAGATAAAATGTGCTTGAGGATGTTAGTTTTTAAGTCTAGAATACCTCATTTTTGACCATGAAAAAATGTAAAAACTTTTAATAAAAAAGATAAATACATGTTCTAAAAATTTGTTTGATTGTTTGTTTTCAAAACAGGGTTTCTCTGTAGTTTTGTAGCCTGTCCTGGAACTCACTCTATAGACCAGGCTGGCCTTGAACTCACAGAGATCTGCCAACCTCTGCCTCCCAAGTGCTGGGATTAGAGGCACGTGCCACCACCACCCGGCTCTAAAAATACCTTTAAAAAGAAGTAAAAATTTTAACTGATAACTTAATGACAGTACTTCATTCATTCGTTTATTTTAGAAAAAGAATCTCACTATGCAATCCAGCTAGCCTAGAACTCTCTATGTAGTAAACCACTATGCCCTGTCATATAAACATTGTTTGGGGCAAGAAAGATGACTCAGCAATGAAGAGCACAGACAGCTGTGGTTTGGTCCCCAGCACCATGTGGGCAGGGGAAGAGACAGCCCCTGTAATTCTAGCACCCCTGGCATCCCATGCCTCTGGCCTCTGAAAGGCATCTTCACTCACCAGTACTACCAACACACACACTATTAAAAATAAATAAAAAATAAATCCCAAAAGTGTTCAAAGCTAGGCATGCTGGGGAACACTTGTGCCTTGAGTACTCTGCAAACTGAGGCATGAAAACCAGAATTTCAGGGCCAGCCTGGGCTACATAATAAAACCCTTCAAAACAACAACAAAAATCACTTAAGGGTACTTCACTTTATAAAAAACCCACCTATCCGTACACTACCAAAAACCAAATCCAATCAGGTCTGGTGGCACAAGTCTATAAGAACCACTCAGGAGGCTAAGGTAAGAGAATAGCAAGTTCAAGGCCAGTATGGGTCAACTCAATAAGACCTTGTCTCAAACAACCAGTATTTGTCAGGCAGAGGCAAGCAGATCTCTGTGAGTTTGAGGTCAGTCTGGCCTACAAAGTGAGTTCCAGGACATTTAGGGCTGTTAGAAACCACTGTGTAGGGGGCTGGAGAGATGGCTCAGAGGTTAAGAGCACTCGCTATTTTTCCAGAGATCATGAATTCAGTTTCCAGCAACCACATGGTGGCTCACAACCATCTGTAATGAGTTCTAGTGCCCTCTTCTGGCCTGCAGACATACACACAGAATATTGTATCCATAATGAATAAATAAATAAATATTTAAAAAAAATGTTGGTTGAATTAGAATACTATAGATCTAGAAACAATCTTTGGGGCTCTCTCTAGTCCCCTAACTTGCCATTCATCCCAGCTCTGTATTTGACAGGACATTACATGATTATGAGGTAGAACCTTTGGAATGCATTAGCTTGGCAGACCTTTGGCTTCCAACAACTGAGCAGCTAATATTTGAGATAGCATCTGAGGCCCATAGTTTTCTTTGATTTACTGTGACCTGCCCATTCCCACCAATTGTATTGAAAAATTTGTGACTTTTTTGTTTGTTTGTTTGTTTTGCAACTAAAAACTCATCAAACTATTTTACATTAGAACATGTTATTAGGGGCCACTTGAATCATTGCTTTTAGGCCATGATTACTCCTATTGGGCTCAATAATAAACCATCTCTGGCTGAACATTTGGCCCAGTTGATTGGAGTGCTTGGCTAGCAAGCCTGAAGTACATGGCCTTCACTAAGACGCAAGGGACTTTCACCTTAGCACTTGCTGCTAAGTAGACTTATTAAGAGAAAGGAGCACAGGAGTCTGACACTAAGTATACTTACTAAGACAAAGGAGCATAGGAGTCTGGCCTAGGGACTCACACAAACCCAGCATTCAGGAGAATGGGCGAGAGGGCTGCAAATTTGTGGCCAGCTGGGTTACAAAATGAGTTCCTAACCAGTCAGGACTAGAATGAGGCCCTATCTCAAAAAGCCAAACATAAGAAATATATATCACCATTTAGCTGAGCAAGGTGGTGTACACCTGTAATTCCAACTTGGAAGGCTGGCTGAGGCAGGAAAGTTGCCATGAATTCAAGACCAGCCAGGGGCACATATCTTCTACCAAGCTAGCCCCACAAATGAGTACAGACAGGACAGTGAGTTGGTTGTCAAGTACTAGAACCTATACAGTGAAAGGAGTGAATGGGCTCCTACAAGGTGTTTTTTGACCTCCATACCTATCCTGGGTTGCTCTTGAGTGCAACTGATTGTACACACACACACACACACACACACACACACACACACACACACGACACATGGGAGGACCGGAGTTTCGATTGTCAGAATCCATGCAAAAGCCAATATGACAGTAGAAGCCCATAACCTCATCACCGGGGCATGGGTGATGGGCAGCCTGGTGGAGGCCCAGCTAGTCTATCTGGTCAAATCACTGAATTGACCACAGGTCAATGAGGGATCCTGTTTAAAAAAATAAGGGAGAAAGCTAATGAAGCCAACACTCAATATCCCCTCTGGCTTCCATACACATGTATAGATAAATATGCACATATGCATATATACGAATGAACAACCAAAACTCCACTCATCATCTCTGTAAGGCAATAAAAGATGGGTCTGGAGAGATGGCTCAGAGGTTAAGAACACTGACTGTTCTTTCAGAGGTCCTGAGTTCAATTCCCAGCAACCACATTGTGGCTCACAACCATCTATAATGAAATCTGGTGTCTTCTGGCCTGTAAACATACATGCAGACAGACACTGTGTAGATAATAAATAAATCTTAAAAATTTTTAAAAAACAATAAAAGATGGAATAAAATAATTGGTAAGATAATAATATCAAATTATCTCGTTATTTCTTTTATGTAAGGATAAATCAGAGGTCCGAGGATGTGATTCAGCAGTAGGACACCAGCCTAACATAGGCTCTGGGGATGTCTGATTCCTTGCATTGGTAATCACTAACCCCCCCCCACACTCTTCCGCCCCCCCCCAAAAAAAAAGCTAAAAAGACTAAAGCAGAAGTAATCCCTGAATGCACAGATTGAAACCAGCCACTTGGATAATGTGACCGCCTCCTCACCTATGATAAGGTCTGAGTAGCAGGTCAGTTTGGGTCTGTATTCATTATGAGTTTTATCCTTGATCTGCTGGATTTATGGAAAGTCAGATAAGTCTAGGTTTGGAGACTGACTCAGTGATTCCATTTGAATATTGAGCCTCTCCATCTCTGTCCCTAACCCCTCTCATTTGAGGTAATCTTGTGATGTAGCCCAGGCTGAACTCATGGCAATCCACCTGCCTCAAACTCTCAAGTGCTTAGATTCCAGTGTGCACAACCACACCTAGCGTAATACTTAGTCTCCTGTCCACTGGAACATGTAGGGCTGAGTGCGAAAGCAGTCTTCTGTAGCTTTGTTCTTTCACAGCAGAGGGAATATAAATTTGTTAAAGAGCTCAGAGTGGGAGGGTCTTCAAGCAAGGAGCCCACCCTGTGATTCTAACAGTCCTGTTCTGTTGGGTCTCCCAAACTCAGCTAGTGTGAACTTGCTTCCCAAGATGACCAGGCCTCTGCAGGACTTTCAGCATGCAGTTGTGCCTTACCTCAGACAGGGCAGAACACACAGTGCTGCTAACTGGCAGGCAAGGACACTCTGCTGTCTCTTTCTTCCTTTCTTTCTTTCTTCCTTTCTTTCTTTCTTTCTTTCTTTCTTTTTTTCTTTCTCTGGCTTCTGACTATACAATTTTACTAGAAAACCTTTCCTCAAGACAGTGTTGTGAAATATAATTGCTATTTGGTCATATAGTATTACAGAAACGTGGTGGGGGTTGGGGCAGAGCACTTGCTCAGCAGGCAGGAGGCCCTGTGAAGGCCCTGTCTTCAGTCTGAGAAAGAAAACAGGACTACAGGAGACCCTGCTGTCCTGCTGTGGGCTGTGTTTCTGTTGTAGACCTCAACAGGCCAGACTGAAAATCAAAGCAGAGCCTCCCGTAGCAAAACTCCACTCGGTGGCCACTCAGAAACTCACGTGACCAGTCAGGAGGGAAAGACTGTGGTCCCAAACCTGCCACCTTCCGTAGGTGTGATCAGGAAGCCTTCATGTAGTCTCCACAAAGGAAGGGACAGGAAGTAACCTGGTGTTAAGAACCAGTTATTTCCTTGTTTTGTCTCCCTGTTCTCGCCTTTCAAGGAAAATCATCCTGATTGACCCATCTGGCCCTCCCGGATTCTCTCCACAAACCAGCCCCTCTGCCCAGCAGACTGTTTTCAGAGCGAAGTGTTGCAAGACTCTACAGTCACAAATAGTCACAACCTATGAACTAGGGCCGTAGGGACTCTTAGCACTAAGTAGACTGAGGCAGGGGGATCACCATGAGTTTGAGGCCAACCTAGATTTATATATTGATTTCCAAGCCAATCCGGACTGCAAAGTAAAACCTGCCTCAAGGAAAACAGAAAAGTCACCTGTAAACTAGCCAGGCATAGCAGCACACACTCTTTTATTTGTCATTTGTCCCAGTTTTGTGTGTGTGTGTGTGTTTGTTTGTTTGTTTTGAAGACAGAGTCTCTAACACAGCCGAGGCTTGGCCTCAAACTTGTGGGGACCTTTCTGCCTCAGCCTCCCGAGCTTAGAGGTATGAATCACTGGACTGCACAGGGCTCTAGGTTGTAATCCCAGTATTGGTGAGGCTGAAACAGGAGGACCACCGCTTTTATGTTTGTTTTTTTGTTTTCTTTTGTTTTTTGTTTGTTTGTTTTTCAAGACAGGGTTTCTCTGTGTAACAGTTCTAGTTTTTCTGGAACTCACTCTGTAGACCAGGCTGGCCTCAAACTCACAACTTACAGAGATTCTACCTGCCTCTGCCTCCCAAAAGCTGGAGTTTTTGTTTAAAGATTTGTTATGTATACAGTTTTCTTAACCATTGAGCCATCTCTCTAGTCCTGTTTGTTTTTGCTGTTGATCCTTTATTCACTTTTTCTTGAGACAGTCTCACTATGTAGCCCAGGCTGGCCTGGAATTCTACATCTTTTTGCCCATCAGATCCAGGGCTGGTATGCAACATAACACTATACTCTAGCTGATCTAATATCAAACAACAAATAGTATAAGGAAAAATTATGGTTTTGTGTATCTGTAAATGATTAAAAAGTGTCTATAAAGTATCCCAAAACCAGTCATTCAGAATGAAATACTACATTTAAAATAATACAAACTTTATAAGTACAGTCTTTAATGTGGAAATTCTATTCTATTGACTCCTCAATAGTATCCTGGAAACCCCAGGAGCTTCCAACAGCAAGGAGAGTTCAGGACAGCAACGTCAAAGCCCAAGTCCTGTGCTAAGACCAAGAATTAGAATAACCAACCATTCTCTGTGCTTGGTTCTGTGCTTTGAAACAGGGTCTCCCTGTGTAGGAGCTCGTGACCTGGAGCTCGGCACGTAGGGCAGGCTGGCAACAAACTCACAGAGCCCAGCTGCCTCTGCCCCCCAGTGCTGGGATCTCTCTTTGGAGGTGATCCCTCAGGCACTGCCTCTCCAGAGGGTCTCCGGCAGTTTGCTCTTCACAGTGGCAGAGCACTAACTGACTCCTGTACCTAACTGCTAGTCATGAGACTTCAGTGCTGTCCCTTGAATTATATTCCGAATCTTCTCTGCATCATTTTGTATAACTGTGTTGGATGGGTCGATCTTAAGTGCAGCTTCATAATCTTGCAAGCCTGTAGAGACATATCAGTGAGAATCAATAAAGCAAGTATTTCATAAGTACCTGTGTTATCTAGACACCTTTTTGTTTTTTGAAACAGGGTCTCTTGTATTCTTGTATGTCGCTCAGCAGACTTGGAACTTGATAGGTAACTGAAGACAACTTTGAACTTCTTTTTTTTTTTTTTGTTTTTGTTTTTGTTTTGTTTTTCGAGACAGGGTTTCTCTGTGGTTTTGGAGCCTGTCCTGGAACTAGCTCTTGTAGAACAGGCTGGTCTCGAACTCACCAAGATCCGCCTGCCTCTGCCTCCCAAGTGCTGGGATTAAAGGCATGCTCCACCACTGCCCAGCTAACTTTGAACTTCTGATCTCCTGCCTCCACCTCCCAAGAGCTGGCATTACAGGTGTGTGCCACCACACACAGTTTGTGTGGTACCAAGGATCTAACACAAGGCCTTATGAATGCGAAGCTCTTGTACTGACAGCTGTACCATCCCCCATCAATCTCTTACCTTCAACATACAATTCCAGTTGACAGAACGCTGTACCTCGTCGGACATGTGCCTTCATTCTCGCATTGGCATTATCGGAAACAGGGGGTGTCAACAATTCTAGTGCCTTCAAACAATATTATAATTAGCGGTTAGGGAGATGCTCAGTGGATAAAGTGCTTGCTCTGTAAGCATGAAGACCTGTGTTCTAACCCCAACATCCTCAGAAAACTCCAGGCATGGTGGAGCATGCTAATGCCAGTGCTGGGGAGGCCGACAGAGAGGATCCCTAGGGCTGGGTGGCAGGCTAGCCAGCCTAGCCTAGATCCCAGTGAGAGACTGCTTCAAAAGAAAAAAAAGTAGGAAGTAATAATTAAAGAGACCATGAATATGGTGTGGGGGTGGAAATGGGAGGAATTGAGGGAGGAGTGGAGAAATGATACAATTATATTTTAATTAAATTTAAAAAACCTCACATGCACAAACGCAAGTGACACTAGAAAGATGGGTTAGAGGCTATGAGCACTTGCTGCTCTCCCAGAGGACCTGAGTTTAGTCCCCAGCACTCATAGCCGGCACCCACTACTGTCTATAACTTCAGTTCCAGGGGACCCACTAGATTCCAAGGGCAACTGCATTGTGTGCACACCCACATACACACACCAACACATAATCCAAATAAATCCTTAATAAATAAGGTGAGCCTGAAGAACACCAAGACTGGCCTCTTGCCATCACACATTCCTGCACTTGCACATCAACTCGTATCTATACACCTACTGTGGATATAAAACAAAGGGTAGGGCCAGGCTGCTGTGGCGCACGCTTTTAATACCAGCACTGGCAGAGGCAGGCAAGAATCTCTGTGAGTTCAAGGCCAGCCTGGTCTAGAGAGCTAGTTCCAGGACAGGCACCAAAGCTACAGAGAAACCCTGTCTCAAAAAAACAAAAACAAAAACCCACCACCACAACAAAGGGTAGACATAAAATTAAGTCTACACAAAAAACAGTGAAAATTCTAACTTGAAAGCAGCTAGGAGAACTGCCGTAATGGTTTGCACCTGTAAATCCTGTACCTAAACTGGGCGTGGTAACAGGCCTGCAGTCCCAGCACTTGGGAGGGTCAGGAATGCAAGGTATTCTTCTCGACTACTGTGCTCTAGGCCAGTCTAGGCTGCAGGAAACCCTGACTCAAAAATAAATAAAAAAGTAAAAATACAAACAAATCAAACTGCTGGGCCTGGTGGCACATGCTTTTAATTTTAGCTACTGGGGAGGCACAGAACAGCAAACTCCAAGGCCTGTTCAATTTTAGCTTAGGCAATTTAGGCCTGAAATATAAGTTATACTGGTAAATTGTCAATACTAATTGTGCTCAAGCATGGTCATTTCAAGATTTTCCAAAATCCCATGTCCTTGGTCAGGTTGCCCCCTGGCTCCCTCTAACAGGTAGAAAGGAAAACAGTTAAGAGCAAAGAGTGTTATTAAAAACAGGGCACCCCTGAGAAAAGCTGGAAGGGGAACCATTCCCAGCAGAGGTGACTATTGTTTATCATACAGTATAAAAATGCCTGCCGTGGGAAGGAGAGGTTATTATTGCCTATCATATAGAATAAAAATGCCTGCCATGGAAAGGAGAGGTTATTATTGCCTATCATACAGTATAAAAATGCCTGCCGTGGGAAGGTGCCACGGACCGGCTCAGGGGAGCCACTCAGACCGTGGGAGAAGCAGGGTCTTGGTAATCAGGAAGGCACAAGTTCGGCGAATGACAGACAGACACAACACACAAGAGAGTGGTTGGAATCTGCTGCGATTTTACTGAATTCATGCTTTCATTATATAGTATTCAAACAAAGAACAAATCAGAAAGAAGGTCATGTGTCATTGGTTGGCACAGTATGAAAGCTTCTTTTAGTCACATCAGCAATATTTAAGAAAAGTATATTATCAGGAACAGGTGTCAGACATAAAACATCCTAAGAAGAGGAAATCTTGTCCTTGAGAACGTAAACCTCAGACAAGTGGTTTCATCTTACGAATAGAAACTTTCTGTCTCATTATCGCTATCACGGCCCTTCCTCTTCCTAACCCTTTATTTCATCTAGTGACCAAATATACCTAATCAGTTCTCTGTACCTGTTGAACTATACTTTTTAGTAGCTTCTTATGCAGCAGACACTATGGGGGTTGGGATCTAGCAAGCCTATCCATAAAGTTCAAAGTATAATATAACAATCTTTGTCCACCAACGTTAACCCATCTATTCCCTTGCTCATCATACACCACAGGGTATGACAAAGGTTCTGCTGTAGTCTTATACATTCCCATACTGTGCTTTCCTATCCCAGAGCTGTTTCTGAAGAGAATGATCCTTGTCTTGTATATATATAGAATATCATTATTATAAAAGAGATTGTGCAAAGCTCATATCCCGCATAGCCAGCTAATCGAGAAACCTGTCTATGCCTCAGCTGTGGCTAATACCAGGCTGTCTGCCATTGACCTCCAGGAAGCCTAGTCCCATGGGACACGTGGCTCCCGTCTGGCATAATGACATATGTCATGTCACACAGACGACACTGGAGTTGGTGTGGCAGGAAGGAGGAGCTGGATCCCATTCATGAAGCAAACTCTACACTGCCTGGAAACCTCTCCACAGGACCTCACCCCCCACCCCTCCCCGCCCACCTATGACTACCCCAGGAGGACTTCCCCAGTCGCTGCAGCTGGGTATATTGTCAGCATTGACGTGGTGACGGTTCACTTTCTGCTCTCCTGCTTCCTGTTTGCTACTTGCTGACTGTTCTTTCCATTTTGCTCACTACGTAGTAATCCCGCTCTTGGGAAGCAGAGAGCATGGCTATTGCAGGTCGTCCACGGAGAACAAACACAAAGGAAAGGAGTACGAGGTGCAGACCCAACGGTAGAGCAGACTAAGGGACTCAGCATTTAACTTCTGGGAGAGGGGCCTGAGTAGACCCAGCACCCCACACTGGCTAAGCAGATGCTCTCCTACTAAGCTAAGAGGTTCTCAGCCTTCCTAATGCTGCAACCTTTAGTACAGTCCCTGTTGTAGTGACCCCAAACCATAAAATCAATTTGTTGCTACTTCATAACTGTAACTTTGCTTCTGTTATGAATCATAATATAAATATCTGATATAAAGGATTTCTGATATGTGACCCCTGTCACGGGTTGAGGACTGCTGGCCTCGAACATCATTTAAGTCAATAAAGAAGGGAAGGCCGAGCAAACGTCTGCAGTGCCTGCCTTACCCTCACGCCTGAATATTAGGGTCTGACCTAGCCGTGTAGACCTTGAGCATGCTAGGCTCCATTAAAGGTAACAATTTCATTTTTTGCTTTAGTAGTCCAAGCGTACTCAAATGGAAACTCAAAAAGAAAATTATAGGGCTGGAGAGATGGCTCAGAGGTTAAGAGCACTGCCTGCTCTTCCAAAGGTCCTGAGTTCAATTCCCAGCAACCACATGGTGGCTCACAACCATCTGTAATGAGGTCTGGTGCCCTCTTCTGGCCTGCAGGCATACAGACAGAATGTTGTATACATAATAAATAAATAAATATTTAAAAAAAAGAAAATTATAAAATGCTTCATAAATTTACATGTCATCCTTGTACAGGGGCCATGATAATCTCTATATTGTTCCAATTTTAGCATGTGTGCTGCTGAATTGAGCACCAATTTGTTTATTTTGTTTATTTTGATCTTTTAAGACAGAGTCTCATTTTGTAACCTTATCTAACCTGGAACACTGGCCTCAAACTCAGTGATCTTCTTCCTTCAACCTCTCGAGGACCCACCACCCCTCACTCTCCAGGATAACTTTAAAGCATCATTTTTTGTTTGTTTTTGTTTTTTCGAGACAGGGTCTCTCTGTAGCTTTTGGAGCCTGTCCTGGAAGTAGCTCTTTTTTTTTTTTTTTTTTTTTTNCTCTGTGGCTTTGGAGCCTGTCCTGGGACTAGCTCTGTAGACCAGGCTGGTCTCGAACTCACAGAGATCCGCCTGCCTCTGCCTCCCGAGTGCTGGGATTAAAGGCGTGCGCCACCATAGCCCAGCCTGGAAGTAGCTCTTATAGACCAGGCTGGTCTCGAACTCACTGAGATCGCCTGCCTCTGCCTCCCGAGTGCTGGGATTAAAGGTGTGCACTACTACCACCCAGCTTAAAGCATCCTATTTTTAAATTAAGTAAGAAATACACACACACACACACACACACACACACACACACACACACAGCACACCCATCAGAAGAACAAACATACCTTAGAAGAGTCCTCAATGGCCTTGTGTAAGTTTCTTAGTTTGAGATGGCAAGCAGCCCGATTCAGATACAATAATGGAATCTTACTGTTTAATCGTATGGCTAAATTATATGCATCAACCGCTGCCAAATAGTTTTCTGTTGCGAACAATTTGCTAATGAGACAAAAAGAAAAAGCCAATTTAACATCGAAGCAAACATGCCCACTTGGCCGCCAGATAGATGGCTTACCACCCCCCTTATTTATTCCCAGCCTGCTGCGCAAACTCCATCTTTCTACATACACCAAGCATGCACCTTGACTAGGATGGACCCCCACACCCAAAGGCAGCCATCAGTGGTTTAATGCAGCCAGTGCATGTCTATCTTCCTTGATTCAGTGATTTATTTAGGGATGGGAAAGGGGCGTAAACTGGCCTGACTGAAGCTGGTAGTTTGGGTCTCAAGTTGGAGAGAGATAGTTGATAACACTTCTCCCCCTGCTGGATATGAATAAGGAAAGCACCCAGAGCAAACGTTGCTCTTTATTTTTAACCATGGGAGAAATGAGTTATGTTAAAGCTGGTGTGGTGAGACCAAGAAAGGAATGAGAAACAGAGGAACAGCACTTTGTGACACAACGAAGCTGCAGAGCTTGACACGTGTCAACATATCTTCAACAAAGAGCCAGGATCAACCAGCCTGGTGGTGCAGACCTGCAATCCCAGCTCTTGACAGACCGACGTATGAGGACTGCAAGATCAAGCTTACTGGGCCTACGCAACAAGTTGAAGGCAGCTTGGGCAACTTAGTGAGACCCTGTCTCAAAATAAAAGAGTAAAATCTGCAATCCCATCCCTTGAGAGGGAGAAAGGAGGATCTGGATTTTAAGGCTCTGGGTTACACATTAAGTTCCCCAGATTGCGTGCGAGCCCCATGTCAAAACAAACCAACAATAAATGAAATAAATGAATGGAAGAGGAAAATGGCTGGGGATAGGCTATAGCTCAGTGTGTTAGCATTTGTCTAGATGAGTGAGGCCCTTGATTCAATCCCCAATGCCACAAAAATCTGCTGGACAGACAGAGTGCGCAAGCCAGCCAGCCAGCCAGCCAGCCAGCCAGCCAGCCAGCATCCATACATCTTAGTGAAGGGGCACAGGTCCCTTCAAGTTAGCATTCATAATGAAGAGGGGAGAAATTAGCATTATGCATATGATAAAAAAAAATAACATGGACGTGGTGCTAAAGACCTGTAATCCCAGAAGTTGGGATGCAGAAGCAGGAGTATCACCACAAGTTCAAGGCCAGCTTAGTCCATGTGACAAGTCACTCGTCAGCAAGGGCAGCATTAGGATAATCTTTCTCTTATAGGATCCTTTGGAAGCCTGGCTGTGGTGGCAGAAAAAGGAACCCATAAGGCAAACTGTGAGACAACAACGGAAGGCAAGTGGATCCTCATAGAGCCTATCACCTAGTGACAGCACAGCCATCTTGGTTTGCAATAGCACACCTGGGGCTTTCAAAATCAAAAGTCTCCTAGTGCCATCGTTCTCGGACCAAGCTGGACACGGTGGTAGAGAAGGGTAGAAAGATGTGTACTGTGAGCAACTGTGTCAAGCAACTATGGAGGCCAAGGCATGCTGAGCTCCATCTGCCCACAAGATACCACGTGTAGTTAGTTCTAGCTCAAGCCCCAAAGCCCAGGAACGGGGGGGGGGGGGGGGG